TGTGTCCTGTTTGCTTTTAGCTTGTAGATAATCACTTTTATCCGTTCAAATTCAATAAAAAACACTTTGTGTAACATGTGTTACATATTTTGCGATAAATAAAATATTTGTAGGGTTAATCATAAATGCTTCTTTTCATTTTTTTATTGTTGTTATTGTTCCGAACAATGCCACACACAAAAAAAAAACCAGAAAATATTAAAAGTGGCGAAAATTCAATTTTTTGGTATTTTTTCCAAAAAAGTCCCCAAACTATCGGAATGTTTAGATTTTCATAAAATTAACTCTACATAGTTGCATAACCATTATATGAAAGTTTCAACGAATTTTGCTGGTTAATTGCGAAAGTGTGGAGCCACCTTAATACTTATAGCAACATCTGGTGGTTTTTTTTTTATTGAAACAAGAGCAGACAATGAACAATTAGACGGACACACGTAACTTACCTGAACCAGGTGTATGGAGTGTAGCGATATGATACGTAAGTCATTATACAGATTTAGTTTGGGACAGAGAACACTTATGAGGCAAATATATTTGTATTGGAGTATACTAATTGAAGGTGGTGGTTTGAATTCCATGACATTTTATAAGTTCATAACCAAAGAAATTTTTAATCAGATAAGTGTTATTGACATGTGTGAAGGAAACTGTCTGTGACCTAAACATACTGTCAATTCTTTCCTCTGACAAAATATTTGTACTAAGTGCATATTCTTGCCATATTAACTATGTACATCTCTTTTCAAGGTAATAATTAGTTGCTTTTGTATCAGAAGTAGCATATACATTTTCAGAGAAAATAACATCTCAAAACGTATAATCGAATGTGGTTTATTAAAAATCCTTTTTATATTAGTATCCATACACAAATATATCACGAAAAATTACACATTATGGAATTTGTTCAATGTAACACAGAGTAATTGCAAAAATAGCGTTATCATAATCACAAAGCATATTATCAACAATACAACACAAGTACGAACCCCTGGTAAAAACAAATGTAGCGTTTCTTACTTATTGACAGAAAGTCCTAAATATCTTAAATCTCCTCCTTTTTGATTCGGCGGAGATATCTCCACCTCATCACAAACTTTTGAAGAGGACAGAGTCGTATTTTTTTCGGACTTATTGACACATTGCTCTTGTATTATTTAAAATTTACTTTATATTTATAAATATGTATGTATAACCAAAAAAGTCCTGTCACGTCGCGGAAGTCCTTTGCACATACGTGTAACTGGACGACACTAGATCTTTTGACGTTACTTCCGCGTAGGTCTCTTTACGAGCGTGTGCACTGGTAGACACGAGTTTCGACCTGCTATGGGAAGCCGTGCGTCGTTGATTCAGTAACTCGTCTCGCCGCCTTCTGCTCTCTTCGATTGCTTTCATCCTGGTCCCGTGACGTTTCTGTTTCAGACGTGCCATTTCCTCCCGTCGCAATCTTGCGAGAGCATGTCGCTCTTCTCGCGTGGTCGCCGAAATACCTGTAATATTTAAACAGTCGTGCCAAAGATGTCACTAGTTTTACTATTTCTTCGTGGCTTTATTGGTGTTTACTAAGTTAATCATAATTACGTATCCCCCCCCCCCCCCCCCCCCCCGGACTGGTCCGAGACAAGCTACTGTACACCAAACGCAATGTCGCAGTGTGCAATAGGTTTCGTTATGTTTATTTTCACGGCATGCAAAGCAGAAAGTACATGTGTTAATAAAGGTTCAAATATGTATCCAGATTTACTAAAACATTTATAAACTCACGATTTCTGGTGGTTTTTTTTTAACAATACTGTAATGGTCGTGAGTAAGAGTCTAGTTTAGAAAATAAATTATTGGATCTGGAATTCGAGGTGGGACTCAGCGAATTGGGGAGACAAAAACACTCCGCCGCCCACCTGTCAGTCCTGGAAACCATGAACATTTCAGAGTGATGGACTAAGCCTATACAGTATCTGTTCGAAATTATCGGTTTCAAAAAGTTCAAAATCCCGAAAAAATGAAATATCTTGTTACCTCTGTTATACATAGTATCATTTTCTAATATCTCGGTCATAAGCTGTTTTTCGTCATCGTCATAGAGGTCTTCAACAGCTTTGTTAACGATACGTGGCCGATGGAGAAGTCTTTGGGGAGGTGGTGGCAATGACTTCTTTTCCTCAAACCCGACAAAGTACACAATCCCTCCTTCCTTCTTACTCTTAGTGGTTTGTAGTCCAGTTGAAAACTCTTCCCCCGTGACCTTTTCTCTAATTTCCATCGTCGACATTCTTCCTTGAAGAAACGAAATTTCATATTCTTTTTCTTCATCTTGGTTCTCATCAAATTCTTTGCCAACTTTGTTTCCCATCTTTTCGCTGTTGATGAATGCTAAAACTAGTGGACGCGCTTCGATTTCAACATGTGGCCCTGAAATCGAAAAAAATGCGTTGACGTCATAGACGTCTCTCCGACGTGACGTCATAGAAGAACAAGGGGAGATAACCAAACATATCATGGGAACTTCGGAATAAACAACAACAGTTTTAAAAATTATTAAGGACACAGACTTAAAAATGACGCTTTTATTACTGAAACTTGTATTTTATTGAATTCAGCTGGTTGTTTGCTATCGCGCCTTGTAAGACGTATTGTCCAACAATAGATCATTTCACAGTCTAACAGATTACAAGGTAGCCGGGTTAAATATAAAGTACCATATTTGGACCCTATAATAAATACTTTGAATAATTCGTAAATTGACGGTATGTCTTAAAAAAAGTATTATTTCATTAGACAGAAACAGAAACAACGAATACAATGTAACATTTAAAAAGGCCGTTTAAAAAAAATTAAGCCTTTAATGTTATTGAAAAACAGTGACAGGATACTGAAGATAGGTACGATATATATATATATATATTATTCAGGTTAGTTCAGTTAGATTATTGTGACGAAGAAACTATTCAAATTATGCATGGAGTCCAGAATAAAAATCATAAGAAAATATAGACATTATTTCAGAGATACAAAATACCGAAATTGCATATTTTTGTGTGTTATATATATATATTCTCGCATAATCCGTGCGGCACTCTATCAAAAATTGAAACATCTCGTGAATAGTTAATCGTACAAAGTTAAGTTACAAGTTTACAATTATAAAGGGCCTATCTACTACCTGTTTTGCGTTTTCAAACACATGCGTCAATACAATGATAATAAGTTGTCCTCACTTCTATATGCTTGTATGTGTTGTTTTATCTGTGATATCTGTTGTCGTCAGAATATTTAAATGTAGACTGCATGTTATGTGTCCGTGTAATAATATCTCATAACAATTCATGTCAACGCCAATTATCATCCATATTTTGGACATGAGAGATACTTCGTATCTTTTTTTGACAGGTACTAATTACCGGTAATAAATAAAGTTGCCAGTCGACGCCCTACAGTCTCCCTTACGATTTACTTGATCTTCCGATCTCGGCATATTTCGAATTGTCACCCATATATGTCTTATTCAATTCATGTCAAATTGTTTACACAAACAGAACCACGACACGCTATATATGTCAACCTTAACCAGTTTCCGCGAATGTCCGTCAAAATAACGCTAATACGTCGTTTAATATAGTGTCCCGGCCTTAGGAGTTCTTGTATTTTCGTGGTAGAGTACAACAACTTTGAGTAGCGCTTATATATATCTGGCAACATCGAGTTGTTTGTTGTTTTGATCTGTAGGAAAAATAATAGAAATAATAGAAATTGAATTAAATTTTATTAAAAAATGTTTTCTCTGCTAACATTATTCCTACGGACGCACGAACACTGCTGTGAACGGGGTGGGTTAGAGGTTGTGAACATCCTTTAAGACCTGAGTAAATGTTGACTCGGACGAGTTTGGGTGATTCATGCCAGGACGGGAGGAGGCGGATGAGGAGGAAGTTGGAGGTGGGATGTACTAAAGGTGAGGTGTTCCGTACATAGTGATGAATTACCGACATGCACAGGTGACAATGTGTTTACCTGTGTGCACGTGACTGTGTTACCTGTACATTAGTCAGGTGTGACGATACATAAGAGGACCGATCCGCTGGTGTTTTATGCGTGTTACATGTCAATTGCCATCAGCGCCATAATGCATCATTGACATTTAATGTCCATAGGACAATAAGAATGACATTCCATCGGCTAACTATGGACACTGGGCACTGGTCAACTGCTGGTCACTCATAGACGCCATGATCTGTATGTATTAACTGGTACTGTTTGGACCGATTTGGGTCCGGAAATAGTTTTTTCGTTGTTAGGTGAATTTTGTTGTGCGGCACATGGATAACTGGACAAGCCGACCTCAAGATAAGGTAAATTGATGAATTTTCATCATCATATTTTGTTAAATTCTAATTAACTTTTCAGTTTTGAACTACATGTACAATTGTCATGTTTACAAGGGACTAATGATATGAACATGTATGACGGACATACACTGTTTTCTGTTTGAAGTCACACATTTCTTGCATTGTCTCTGATTGCTTAATTATGATTCTTCGAGGAAAATGTGTATATTTGCATATTATTATGTCATGATTAATAGAACATACTTAATATTGTTATTTTATATTGGACGTGGTATTCTTACTACTTAAATATTATATTGTACAATAACATTTTCTTTATTCGACTCGAACAATAAATGTTAAGTATTTCTACGAAACTCGTCGTATATAAGGCGTATTTGTTTGAAAAATGACTTCAATGGAACTTTTATTTGAAAACAATGCATATAAATATTTTGATACATGTCGTTTTGAAATGTTATGTGCCATTTAACGGTTTTATTTTGTAATGGAAGAACTAGCGTCGCTACCCAGCCGTCTAATACAAATTCTGACCTGATTGATTGAAATAGCTGTTACAACTTTTTCTTTCAATTCTAAACTGTATCTCGGGAAAGTTGAAAAATCTGCGAACAAGACACTGCCGAAATCTTATTTTATTTAAGACTTCGCTTTTTTAACTTTATCTGATATTCTGTCTGAAACAATGTATTTTTCCCATTGTTTTTTTTTTTGATATTTAATCAACCATAAAATATTAACAAAGCTGCATTAAATTATGTTAAATGAAGAAATCAGGATAGTAACATAATGGATATAATAACCAAATTATAAAAACTAAATTAGCACAGAGCTGGGGATCTTTAATATTTGACATTTTTATTTTGTGGATTGTATATACATTTGTATTTGTATTTCATGAGGGTTGTAATGCTGTAAAATATTGGTACAATAGGAAGAAAAAGGTTAAATAGATATACGCATATATATCCTCTGATGAACCTCTAAAGAGGTGAATGTATTAGGGAAATAATAAGAAATTCTTTGTGCCATTTCTTTTATAAATACATGTGCCTACATATACATATCTGATATATAAATCATATGCATGTTTTTACTGGTTATCGATACATGTTGTACGTATCGGTATACCGATATGTACCGGTATATCTGTATATATCGTTGTATCGATTTCTGCTTACTATATGTATCGTTATATCGATAAGTATCGATATATCGATTTCTGCTTCGTGTATGCATGGGTGTATCGATATGTATCAGTGTATCGATTTTTCCTTCATGTATATATGGGTATTTCGATAGGTATCGGTGTATCGATTTCTGCTTTGGATGTGTATGTGTGTACCGAAAGACAAAGTAACAAGTAAACGTTACTTAAGTGCCTAAGTACAACACCTGATCAACAACGTTACAAAAACGTTATTCGCACTAACCACTGTCAAGTTCTCTACGTACACTTTGTCACGTTTCCGTAGCAACGAAGAACTATAAACCCCCAAGTGCTGGTCACGCTCACGAGATCAATAACAAATCTATAAATATGTCCGCCTTTTATCGATCTGGCTGACCACTCGTATCTCATTACTGTCACGTGAGTTCATTGGACATTATGTCGCGCCCTACCAGAGGTTTCTATAAATCCCAGAGGGACCTGAAAACTAACACACACTTTAATCTGTACATTAAGACGTTTTGCCAGATACATATAAATATGTAGAAATATTATTAAAACAGAAGTATAAGGACACCCCTCAGTACTATCAAAATAACCTCCCCTGATTATCATTTTGACAGAACACTCGGTTATACATAAATGTTAAATACTGGGACACAAACGTGGCCAACACCCTATGAAGACTCATATATTTGAGATTTGTACACACACATAAATAAATCAATAACGAACTTTTTTTTTGTATGACTAATCACGAATTGATCTTGTTTATTTGTTTTATTTTTGCGTTTTAATCTTAGTTTTTCAGACATGTTTTGCATTAATATGTTTGTATATTTATATAACTTACCATTTGTGTTTTGTTTGACCTACAAGAGGACATCGCCCTTCATTTTGAAGTGGCATAACATCTACCATGTGAGTTTCTTCAGATTCATTATTGCTGGCTATATACTGCACTCGCTTCATTTTATAAACTCACTACGAATATTTCCCTTTTTTCTCAAATTTATAAACTATACTCTTTTCATATCTTACGTATTTTTTCATAGTTAACAGTGTAAGTATGACACGACACCGTCATTCTTTACTTTTGTTTTATGAGAGAAAAAAATGCAACGAGTGATAATTGACAACTATATAAAATCATTCTCGTTGATCAGTCAATTCTCAACTATAGCCTAGACACTGACGATCATATACACTTTACTAGCGGAAGCTTGTCTAACCTATTATTTGCTTCAGTTCGTACTTTTGTTCTTGAAAACAAACTTATGCATGTACTGGTTAATTATATATATTTGTTAATCAGTTATCACTTGTTTGGTATCCTAACTGCATCTAAAAGAAGAATGAATACATGTATATCACGCACGGACTGACAAAAAAGTCCAGTTATAATCATACGCACACACATATCATTATTACATGTTATCATGAAATTATAACTGTATACATGTATATTATGCCCAAATGGCTACATTTGCTCTGCATCCTTCCATTACAATGTATTGAGAAGGCACATTTTGTTACGAGAATATATAACAACATTTGCTATTGTACATCATCAATCTCTATTGTGACGTCATCAATCTCTTTCGTGACGTCTTGAATTTCATTGGTGTCAACAATTAATTTGCTGTTCTAAAAACTGTTCGAAATAACTAAATTCGCATAACCACTCTATCGAAATGTGAATATTGATTAAGAATATTTTCAGAAATATTGTTATGACCCACATTTCTATTGCTGACAAACCTACATAAAGCCCTACCTACCGGGCTTGATAAAGTTTGTCATCAATAGCAATGTGGGTTATAGGACCATAACAACATTTACTTAAACATTATTCATTGCTTAAATAACGGATCAAACAATAATTTTCAATCAATTATGAACACGGGTCTCAATGATTTTGTTTGTTATATTAATAACTAGTTACAATATACACTGTTTATCCAGAGGCTAAGAGTGAATAGAGGCATACTTTAATATATATATACTTTTCTGATTAAATATAAACAACAACGGTGATACACAACTAAGACATCGGTCACCATTGACCTCGCGTGCTAAATTAATTTGTTATACTCTAAACACGAATGACTACTGGCAAGGAAATCGAGCTTGCAACCGATGTCATTTATTCTATTTCGTAATTAATATCAATAAAAGTTTATATATTGTGAAATAAACCATGTTTCCAATATAAGTCAAATAATGGAATTGATACTATGCATTTGAAGGCCAAATATCACGGATAAAACGTAAAAGTAAGTTATGGGACAAACAGATTCAACGACTTGTGAGATCGGTAATTGTGTTATTTTATCACAGTCGTTAACAATCTCTACCCAGAGTTGCCGTTCCTGAAATGTAAGTGAATGTAAGGGACGACAACTCTGGGTAGAGATTGTCTCGTTAGTTCATTTTCAAAATTTACTCTGTTTTAGACATTCTGTAAACCACCAATACCATTAGAAATAACACCACAGTATAATGACACACTGTGATACAAAACCATGGATATATTATAGTATAAACACTGTGGTTAAAATATCGAAATGCGTAATAATTTCATATAAGATTAATCATTTAATACAAGTACCCGAGCTCAGACGTTCAAAATCACTGTTTAACCCCATTTTTCAATCTTTTATAATTTCGCCTATACATCAGGTAAAATCTCACAATTTTGCATGTACATTTACTCCACTTAATATTTCATTTCTGGAAAGCTGTAACTAATTCAATGGCTGTGTTTTAAAGATTCACAAAAATGAAAAATGCCTTCATCACTGATTAAGCCAATCACCCTTTGAACAATTTGGCCCTGATGTATTTATCATATTACCACTTGTCTTACATTTGTAATATTTCACAAAGTGTGATTTTCTTTCTTAACGAGTTATGTGCTGCTTTTTTTGCAGTGGCCACGTCTGACTGGACTTGCGAACCGTGACCGCAGTAGTGTAGAAGAGGCCCAGATGGCTACGTACGAGAGCCCCTACACGGCGGAGAACCCAGCCTCGTTCTACCACTACTCTCTACATCCGGATGACCTTGCTACCAGGAGGAGCATCAGTGTCTACTCACTCAAGGACCCAGATAGAAAGAAAAAAAGCAGCCGATTTCCACAATGTCGGGTCTGCTTTGCGACGATGCTCCTTGTCAGTCTCGGTGTAGCAATTGCGGTTGCCGTGACTCTGGCAATTATGTGTAAGTGTATATTGAAATATTCTTTTTTGAGTTATCCTTTATTGAACAGCCCCTATAGAAAACAAACATTAGAACGCAATTTTGACGGCGAAAAGAAAACATCGCTAAAAGACAAGCCTATTTTTATTGCATAAATCATCCACCAAGACTCTCATTGCGGATCTTTTGTTACCCCTTTTTAATAATCATTATAGCATTGATGTATTTTGTTATCTTTATTGCAGTGTCAAATCCTCATCCAAAGTTTTACCGGACAAAAAGTGCAGGTTTGTATAAATTCTCATGATTCTAGTACGCTGATCGTTCTCAGTACCATGTACTCCGACTCATAACATTGTATTTCTTACTTATTCCCCGTGCTACGTTCCCTATAGCCTGGGCAAGGGTATGTAATATACCTTGAAATGGGAACGAGGGTAACGGGGTTGGTTCGTATGTAACCTCTGCTGAAAACAAAACTGATCTGTTGCGCGAATTGGAACTGTAAGGTCTTCATTTTGTCTGTTTCTAGTCTTCAACTACCCACTCCGTCTGGTTTTGCAACCGTTCCAGATTTTCTATCAAGAAGCCATTTATATGTATTTATTTACCTAATCGTTTGTTAAGGTCACATATTGTTACTACCCGCTATTGTTTGCAGATAACACAACCCTCAGTAAGGACTTTCTGAAAGAAAAAGAAGTGGATTTCGGCACTGACATATGTCAATTGGTGAGCTTCTGTATATGTTCTCGAGGGCACAAACTGTTCACTTTCACTGCAATACTGTGTTTAATCAAAAGATCGGCAGAACGTAATAGAATTATATATAAACTGGGCAAAAGTAAAGTGTCGCTGTCAGATGAATACACCATTCAGCATCGTCTTCACTTAACATATAAATTAAAATCATATACTATTCCTACTACTCCAGTCATATACGTTTCCAGGTCAATTGACCGCAATGTGAAGCGGCTGGACTTTTTAAATTGAGTTCCCTTTTTAATTTATGGTTTGGTTGTGTATGGTATACCCCGTACATACATTACTGTTTTTATTCAATGACAAAATTGATTCGGATAAAAACGAAATAACTTAAAATGTAGCTAAAGTGGGACCTGACGTATTTGAAGTTTATCTGTAGCTATCGTTTGGAGTCACTGACTAACCTCTACATTCTTTGTTTATAGATGAGTGCCATGTTTGATCTCCGAGACAGTTCGCACCAGTCGAGGAAGGTCACTGACTGTAATGTGTTTCTGGCAGACAGGTACATCTTACATCTAAACTTCTAATGTCATCTTTCATATAATGTTAGTTTACGAATAAATGTCGAGTGCACATGCTTACCTACATGTAGAAATACAACCGTAATCATGTAATGTAAGGTATTACAAACTCGGGTCTAACACAATATCACTCTCTTGTGTTGCAGTCCCGGGAATATGGTGATCAATATAAAACTAAAAGTGGACGAGACATTCATCAAGTCAGATTCGAACAAGGTAAAAGCGATGTTGGTAGCGAATGCATTCGTCCTCAGTTCGAATTATTCTGGAGAAAAACTGGTCATCTCTGTACCTTCTAACAAAACCGACAAATCATCTGCGATATCCGATGTTCTTACACCATCAACAACGGGATCCGATGTTTTTACATCATCGACTACAAGATCCGATGTTCTTAAGCCATCAACGGGGTCCGATGTTCTTACGCCACCAACAACGGGATCTCATGATTTTGCACCATCGACAGCGGGGTCCGATGTTCTAACGCCATCAACAACGGGGTCCGATGGTTTTACACCGTCAAAAGCGGGGTCCGATGTGTTTACATCGTCAACAACTGGATCCAATGTTCTTACGCAATCAACAGCGGGGTCCGGTGTTTTTGCATCATCGACTACACTATTCGATGATCTTACGTTATCAACAACAGTGTCCGATGTTCTTACACCATCAACGGGGTCCGATGTTCTTACACCATCAACTACGGGATCTGATGTTTTTGCACCGTCAACAACGGGGTCCGATGTTCTTACGCCATCAACAACGGGGTCCAATTTTCTAACACCATTAACAACAGGACCCGATGTTCTTACTACATCAACTACGGGATTCGATGTTTTTACATCATCGATTACAGGATTGTCAGAGTTCCTGTCACAGTCGAGTTCTGTTGCAGCAGATGCATCTTCTGAATCTACGTATACTGCTATGTTAGTATCAAACTTTATGTCAGATGATCTTGATGGTACATTTAGAGTTTCTGCTAGTTCTCGGGATGTCTCGTCATCAGCGTTTGTGTTATTCAGTGATGAAAGCAAGGCTTCGGGGAATACCATTTCGATTCAGGAAAGTATACAACTTCCAATAGGCGATGTGGCGTCTAGCACATCATTGTCTGCTGCGGTACGTATTTCCCCATCTGCTGCTTTGTCGTATCAGAATGTTGAATTGACGTCTACTCATGATAAGCTCAGCAGTATTATATCTCATCCACTTAGTCAGATATCACCTGACAGATCAGAACCTGCGCGATTCATTACTACAAGTGTTTTAAGTTCCGAATCTGTTTTAAGTACTATGAGCGTTCCGAATTTGGAATCGTCGGAGCAATATATAACACCTACTGCCACCATACAACATGTGTCAAGTGTAGCTATGTCGTCACTTCCGGGCCATACTACAAGATATAACCGACACGATACGTCATCGGTGATATCCTCCGAATACGGATCATATAACGAGGATATGACATCATATGCGCGGGTACCTACTGTGTCCTTATATGCATCAGATATGTCTATGACACAATTAGGAGATTCCCCTCCGTCAGGAACTTCACCAAAGGCAAGTGATTCGGCAATAATTCCGGGAGAAAAATTAAAAACATCAGTAACACCTGGTCTGGAATTAACTGCTATGACAACTGAAGCATCACAAGCCCCACACGATGTTTCTTCATCGGAATTAATTTCAAGACACGACCTACAATCATCATTGTCCGGTGTGTCTTTTTCGTCAGCTGTAAAGAGTCTCCGAGTTCACTCTGTCGCTTCTCAGCATGCGTCCCCCTCTTATATAGCTTCGTTCGTTGTATCAGACGTTGCATCAGCTAGTTACACATATCTACCAGACTCAGGATCTGCAAGTGCAAACATATTTTCTGGCGATAGTGCTGTCCAGACTGAATTGCCTACTCCAGTACTTTATCCTTCTGTTGTGGTCGATAGTGCTGATATAACAACACTGGAACCAGACAAATCCTCACAGAGGATGACAGTTTCGGCAACAATAAGAGTACCAGCGTTACAACCTCCGAAAGCACGATGGTTAGATACAACCATGTTCATGTCAGAAGTCGCCGTGGACAACAACTCGTCTTCTATGGCGGAGTTACCAATGCTGAATAATGACACGGACGCGTCGTCCAATATAACAGTACCAGAGATAAGGAAGAACTTAACACTGGAGACGTCCACGTCACAGGCCACGGTTCCAGAGCTTTGGAACAGAACAGATTCCATGGAAGACAACATAAAACCAGTTATTGTTCCTTTGTTACAATCCGCGGTGGGGACGCCACTATTAAGCACAACTCAAAATCCTACTACCACTGCACAGGACGTTGGAAGGGCGATTTTTGAATCAGACATATCAAACAGGGCAATGGGGACGGCTAACCCTCAGGACTTCTGGGACAATATATTAAAGATGGTGCAATATACTTCAACAAAGAAACCAAAGACCCAGGATTCCGAATTATCAACACTATATAAAAACCTGACATCTGATTCCAAAACATTATCTACTGTTGATGAAGGCATTTCGTCAGTGACAGATAGCGTGGTGTCTGACAAAGTATCAGCATCCTCTACGATTTCTAATTTCAATACAGCTTCTTCGTCTGTAACTAAATTAAGTGATAACTCATCTTCTTTGGTTAATTCACTGAAACCGTCAGAGAGTGATATTCTAGAACCCAGATCATCCACATTGTTGTTATCTGAAATATCTGCACGCTCAACCCCTTTACCATATATAAGAGCCACACCAGTTCTAACGGCAGAACCAGGGTTGATGTCGTCTATCGAACAGAGTGTTATAACTGAAAAACCTATTATGGATAATTCTACCTCTAAAGAATATAGACAATTCACCTCTTCTATTGGCAACGGCAGGTCTTTGTTATCATCCGACTTTGGAAATCCTAGAATGGACAATCTGTTGTCAACTACGCAAGATGCTTCAGTCATATTATTCTCGTCTGCGCAAACTGCATCGCCGCCCAGCTCTACAGTAACTCTCACGGAGGATTATGCATTTTATGATCTTATTCCAGTCAGTTTAGTGACCTCTCCACCAGGATCAACTAGTGTATTGTCTGGCAGTATTGTATCATCGAGCGACATTCATTCAACACGTTCATCACCCCACCAACAGGGTACAGATGATATGGACTTTTACGATCTAATGCCAGTGAGTGATATAGCATTGTCAGTTGAAATAAGTTCCAGCAAAATAAAATCTGTCAAGATAACAGACGATCTTTTACCTACAGGTACAATAAAATCTGCAGAGGTTTCTAGTGCGTTCCGCAGTACAGCGACACAAAGTGCGCCAACAGTAGATGCTAGCCTAACAACAGGCATAGAGGCACCAGCCACACTTACATTAGATCCTATCCCATCTTCAAGTATAAAGACATCATCCACAATAATATTAGCTGATAATCAATCATTGAATATGGAAGCATCAACGGTAGATGCTACTTTATATGTGGTTATGAAGGCTTCAGTCACACCAACAGTAGACGTTAGCCCATCGTCAAGCGTAGAGACACCATCAACCGACTTTTATTCTAGTTCAGTGTATAGAACCGAGTCGTCCGGCCTAGACATTGATATAAGTACCAGTGCATCTGCGATTATTTCGACACCAATTGAAGTCACACCGTCTCTTGCGACAGTTTCAAATGAACTGTTCGGAGATACCTTGTCCTTAAAGGTTGAGTCACACACATCTGTCAGTGGTTCGTCGTCATTACTCAGTGTACAGAAATCATCGTCGGAAATCAAGGCTACTACGTCGCTGAGAGACGCCATTGCAAGCACCACGACGGAACCTCCGCCAAGCATGCCAGCTGTTTTCAATGTAGGATCTGAGTTTGGGAACAAATTGTTTTTCGCAAATGATTTTTCAAAAATGGATTTCACCAGAACTGATACTGAAAGTAACGACAAATCTGTACCATCATCACTGTTCAATACTGTGCCAATGATACCAAGGGTGACAACCCCAAGTATACCACGTGTCAGAGTTCCAAACCTATTTCAAGGGGAAGCAAATCCGTTTCAAACCGTCCCGACGACTCCCGAACCTCCCGTAACTAAACCTAAGGTCATACCGCCGACCCCCGAAGATCAGAAGACCTCTTCTTCGTCATCAGGACAGTTTCTTTTTGACTTTGGCAGTTTGGGGTCAAATTTCGGAGGCAGTCTTGGTCTGGGTAATATAAACTTTAACTAATATTGGAAGAGGATAAACCCCCCCCCCCCCCCCCCAAATACGTCACTAGGATTCTCTTGATTATACGTTAGTTTGGTGTATGAGACTGTCTGGTTTGATCGCCGTGTTTTGTATTTTTCTTCGAAGAGAAGACGGCCATACGCTGTACTAGAAGTCGACTGGGAATGACGTTCAAACACTGTACTATAGGTCGACTGGGAATGACGGTCATACACTTTACTATAGGTCGACTGGGAATCACGGTCATACACTGAACTATATATAGGTCGACTGAGAATCACGGTCATTCACTGAACTATAGGTCGACACGGAATCACGATCATACAATGAACTATAGGTCGACTGGGAATGACGTTCAAACACTCTACTATAGGTCGACTTCGATTCACGGCCATACACTGTACTATAGGTCGACTGGGAATCACGGTCATACACTGTACTATAGGTCGACTGAGAATCACGGTCATACAGTGAACTACAGGTCGACTGGGAATGACGTTCAAACACTGTACTATAGGTCGACTGGGAATCACGGTCATACACTGTACTATAGGTCGACTGGGAATCACGGTCATACACTATACTATATATAGGTCGACTGGGAATCACGGTCATACACTGTACTATAGGTCGACTGGGAATCACGGTCATACACTGTACTATAGATCGACTGGGATTCACGGCCATACACTGTACTATAGGTCGACTGGGATTCACGGTCATACACTGTACTATAGGTCGAATGAGAATCACGGCCATACACTGTACTATAGGTCGACTGGGAATCACGGTCATACACTGAATTATAGGTCGACTGGGATTCACGGTCATACACTGAACTATAGGTCGACTGGGAATCACGGTCATACGCTGTACTATAGGTCGACTGGGAATCACGGTCATACACTGTACTATAGGGCGACTGGGAATCACGGTCATACGCTGTACTGTAGGTCGACTGGGAATCACGGTCATACACTGTACTATAGGTCGACTGGGAATCACGGTCATACACTGTACTATAGGGCGACTGGGAATCACGGTCATACACTGTACTATAGGGCGACTGGGAATCACGGTCATACACTGTACTATAGGTTGACTGGGATTCACGGCCATACACTGTTCTATAGGTCGAATGGGATTCACGGCCATACACTGTACTATAGATCGACTGGGAATCACGGTCATACACTGAACTATAGGTCGACTTGGATTCACGGCCATACACTGTACTATAGGTCGAATGGGATTCACGGCCATACACTGTACTATAGATCGACTGGGATTCACGGTCATACACTGCACTATAGGTCGACTGGGAAACACAGTCATAAATTTTACCATAGGTACGTCAGGAAAAACTAAGAACTCCATGGCGGCCATACCACCATTTACTATCCCCCATATATATTGTACCGAAGGAAGCATTACCATTCGGAGTGTAATCAACCCACATTGGTAAATCAGAATGTCATTTTCAATTTTCTTCTCTAATATGTTTAATCGGGATGAGAGGCGAATCAGTCAATGTACGCTTGAGGAAGACATGTCTCTATTTAGCTATACCCTACACACCGGCGTTACAGAGGTTCTGTTCAGCTTCTACAACTTGTCCTGACTAATTGCTATGATATCACAGTGGTTTGGCGTTATATCGAAGGACGCGTATAAGCGAAAAGGAAACATTGATATGTAATAAAAATAAATTGCGAAAGGCAGGGTACCAAATTATAAAAGGAGCATTATATCACTTAAACGTTAGAGGTCCTTTATGAATTTGGTAGCAAGCCAGCCAAACAACACGATACTCTCAAGGATGTAGACAGTGTATCATTCCATTCTTCATCATCTTAAGGATGTACACCTCTGAGAAGTCAAACAATTCTTGTATTTAACTTTTTTTCTTATATTGATTTTTTGAAAAAGGAGTTAATGGCATAGTAGAAAATGCAAAAAATAAATATGTCTTTGTGTTCGTTTTTGTGCTATGATCAGTCAAAGATACCAATTTAACACAATGTGTAATTTTAGGTGATTTTTGTTTTGTTTTGACCATTTGCAGAACAAATTCATACAATTTCTTCCAACTTCTATGAAAGTTTGTAGAATTGATAAAAATATTATTTTCTTTTAAATTATGGAAGTAAAACTTCTTTTTTTGTCCCACTATTATTTGTGTTATTTTTCACGTTTTTCGGGGTCAAAAATCAAAAGTGCTTCAGTTAAATATATAAAATAAATAAATAAAAAAAAATGTATAATTTCCACTTGCATATTATTTTTATCATATTGAACATAATAAAGTTGTACAGCAAAATTGAATCTGCTTCAATTAAAAATGGCGACACAATGACAAATTAAGTGATCAATCTAGTGTCAAAAAAGGTGAAATTTTGGTCTTTTGTGAAGCGTAAGAAATACACATTAATACACATTTTCAAAATGGCCGCCGAATTGGTCATGATTTTAAATTCTTGTAAAACAAGTTCTTCAAACAACAGGCATCTATTTTTTTGACATATTATTGAGATGCGTGTTTGCTATTGAACTTGATCATAATTTGTTAAATATTACAAAAACCCGTTACACCAGATGAAAACGAGACATGAACGTGATTTAAACCTCAGAAGAGTACATCCTTAACGCTGGACCTTTTCTGTTGTATTAAATAAATATTTATCACACGCCTGTTGAATATTGTTATAGTAATACAATCAATTTTCAGACCATGAAATACAACGTTCTGTATTGCACATGTGCAATACGGAATGTTGTATATCCCTACAAATCGGAACTACTTTTTATGGGAATCCCCTTGTCATGTCGAACTGAAAAGTTCCCGGTATTTGCAAAAAATACCAACGTTTATAAAATCTTTGTATCAATCTCTACCAAATACGGAGGGTATGTGATAAAAGCAAGACAACACACTTGTGTTTTTCTAACGAATCAGAAAGCACTCATTTATTGCCTGACGTATATATATTCACTCGTGCGCTCCGCGCACTCGTGAATATATTCGTCCGCGCAATAAGCTCATGCTTTCTGATTCGTTAGAAAAGCGCAAGTGTGTGGTCTTGCATATGTATTACCACAGAAAAGCAGTTATTACAGAGTGCTCAACCTCTGAGCTCCCTAATAAACATCAACGCATCAATAGATACACATTGGACTCAAAGTGGGTTTCTCCTCATCTGCTTCATGATAAATCATCGCGGGAAGGATCATAGGTTTACTGGTGTAACCGGTATATCAATGACAAAGAAAAAGTATACTTTTACTTATGTTCCCGGTATATCGATATCGAAATATAACATGAAAGGGTAGATAGAGCAGATACATGTATGTGGTTTCTTTATGAAGTTGTGCATGTGACTTGTGTTTGTGATGTATGCATGTGAACATATTAAAATATCATGTTTCTGTGAAACATTTATTTATTTTGTTTCGAAAATTAAATTGTTTAAATTTCTGGCAACTCATATTTCGTGTACAGTAATCGGTTAACTAGAATCTATGCCCAGGCCAGCACGATGAAATCAGTTTTCCAGGCTTTTTCAGACATTAATAATAAGTCATGACTAATGTAACAATCCAAATCTATACCGGAACTGAGTTTGGAGCAGACGGCTCTCAATGGGACGAGGGCAATTACGAATTCCTTTATGTCACATTTAAATAAATCTGCATTCAGAAAAAGAAACAATATTCATATTATACAAGTTATCGGCAGAAAGTCCAGAAACATTTGCGTTATATCGCATATGCGAATAGGATTTGTTAAAATGTACATAGATTTAATTTCCGATGGACCTGTATCAATTTGTGTAAAATTGTGAGACGTCATGCTTTCTATTTACATCATTAACTTGAGCGTTCGCTAGGGTATATATCAAGGGTAGTGTTGGACGTTTAGTAAGCCGTGAGATAATCGATTATATGTGTGTTAGCTGCTAGTTTGTGCAAATGTAACAGTATCCTTTTCTTAATTTGTATCTAGTTTTCATTAAAAAATCTTCATCAAACTTTCAGTGTTTGTCTGCTTTTGTTTTTTTCTTACTTAATTGTTTTTGTAGAATGTCATTAAACAGACGTGTCATCCAATTTTAAGGGTGCATGCTATTTTGATTTGATATACATATATATTTTATTTTTAAAAGAATTAAATTTGACTTATTACATGTTATTTATGCCGTCAAATATTTTTAAAGCTAACAGTGAGAAGTCAAAAAGCGTTTCTAGTTTTTTCTGGTTTTGATATCCATTTTACACAACCAATAAAATGTTTTATGTGACGTTTCGATGACTAGTACGATATGTACACTGTCACCTTCATCAGAAAAATTACCAGTGAAGCGTATGCGCACAAAGGTGTAAAATGTGTACGAGTTGTCCATAGAATCGATGTCGATTTCGGCTACGCTGAAAACGTATGTACAATAGTTGTTATATATGTACCAAAATGACTCAATTCAGCTACGCTTTGTTAACACTTGTTTATAGATATGTGAGAGTCTTTGAGCCCCCTCGTCTCGATTTAGAACTAGCCCACTGCGGCGTATCCAGATGGTTTCCTTTATCTATTTATTGAAACTTTAAGTTGACTAAACATATAAACACTTTATCCTGGATTCATGTAAAAATAACATCAAGGTGTGGGTTGGAAGGGCTATAAATATGTCACCGTTTTCTCAGTAAATTACAAACACGGTTGCGTAATTCCAGCATCTTCCTTTAATACATGTATATCCGCAAAACCTACAATACAGGACAATACAATAAATAAATATACCCTCATATATACCGACCGAAGTCCCGGACCTCTGGATATTGATAATTACAAGATAGTTATTAGATTAATACCGCAATACATACCGGGTATAATGTTCCTAGAATGGTTCATTAAAGTGCTGGCGTCAAGGTCTCTGTACGCCTCTATACTTACGAGTTGGATTGTAAGAATAACCACTGGGTAGTAAGCATTTACCCAGTAGTCGAAATATAGTGGCGGGAATATAGGGTGCTTTATTTGTGCAAGGGAAAGGTCCAAGGTCTACGTCGTAAGTACAATTCAGTCAGAATGTTGATACATTCCGAACTGATGACGTCACATACACTGTTTACAGACAGTTGACAGCACTCGTTACTAATATATATATATATATATATATATATATATATACACTTTATATATATATATATCATTTAAACCATTGCTCTTTTGTTTGTAACGTACATTATCTCTCATAATGTCCACGTATTTTCATGCCGTGGCCGAAGTGTGTATTATGTTTACAAAGAACTGGGTTTTACCGAAAACTGGGCATTATTAACACAATGGGCCTTTCATTTCACTGAATGAAAGTGGGCATTATTAATACAAAGGCCTGAATACATAGATGACGTAACATACTCCACACTTCAACTGAACCCGGTTACAAATATACTAATTGCGTCACACCTGGGCGATTCCAACATGGTTGGAACAGGGTAGACTTGTCAAGATTTCAAGATTTTCAAGATTTTTATTTCACTCAGACACACATAATATGTGTAACAAGAGGTCATGTATGTATAACATAGTTTGAGTGCATGACAGGCAAACATTCTATACCATAGCATAGTACATAAAAATATATATACGTGTAGTTACATACAAATAATTCAGTGTTCAACTTATATAAATGTCACTAGCAAACAAAAGAAAAACTTAAAGAATAGAGACACTAAAGTACTTTTGTTAATTTTTGAACAAATAAGCTTACACTTTTTAACAATTTCATATTAAAGATTGTGAACATTCCTTTCATTTTATGTTGGTTTGGACTTGTATAAAAATAGGCCGGAATATGTTTTTCCCTTATTTTGACTAAAGTGTCGTTATTACAAGTATATAAGTAATGATACTCGTCCCCAATACCAGTATTACAAAGTGGGCATATTCTGTCCTGTCTTTGAATTCCCACCCATCTTCCTGTTTCTACTGGAAGCTTAATATTTGAAGTTCTAAATTTGCAGATAATTTTCCTATCTTTTGCGTTTAATCTGATCAAATAGTCTTCTAAACCAAAGCGATATTTAAATGTAGAGTATAATCGTCCTCTGGATGAGGTGTCAATTTTATTAAACCAGGATTGAATAAACTGATCGTGTAATTTATGTATAATTGCAGCTTTTAAATAAGTAATATCGGGCAGACAGGTTTTTTGATGGATCCAAACATAGCTTAGACCTACGCTATCCAGGATATGTTTAACATAGTTCAACCATTTAAACTCGATTTGTCCATTTTCATGTAATGAGTACATCAATTTGTACATTCGACTAGACAACTTATTTTCACTCGAGGTAAGTGTATACCAAAATTTAATCATTCTTAATTTGACATCAACCTCAATAGGGTATCTGCCCGTTTCTCCATATACCATAAAATTACAAGTATTTCTGCGTAGACCAAGAATTCGTTTACAGAATTGGAGGTGTATTTTTTCAAGTATACTAACATCCTCATGGCCCCATATTTCTGATGAGTATAGCAAAATTGGAGCAACTAGCGAGTCAAACAATTTGAATTGTAAATCAATGGGTAACGAAACATTTCTTATTTTCTTATATACGGCATATAGTGCTTTTTGGGCCTGTTCCGCTAATTGCTTTTTTGCCACTACAAACCTCCCATTATAGTAAAATAGAACACCTAAGTATGGAAAAGAATCTTGAATGTCTAGCTCATTATCCTGTAATAGAAATCGATATCTGTTAGTATTCTTTCGTTTAGAAAAGATGACAATTTTTGTCTTCTGTGTGTTTACCGTTAGTTTCCAATTCTCACAATAATCCTGAAATTTATTTAGCATTGATTGTAGACCATCTGCTGTCTCTGACATTAACACTGTATCGTCAGCATATAAAATAACAAAAAGCTTTACGTACATACCAATATGATCATGACAAAGTTCATCAATCTTTAGTAAACAATCGACATTTTTTTCCAATAAATAGTCTTCTAAATCATTTAAAAATATTGCAAATAAAAAAGGCGAGCAATTTTCACCTTGTTTTAGTCCGACATTTGAAGTGAACATTTCTGACATTTCATTCCCATTTCTCACACAAGATTTCGTATCAGAATACATGTTAATTAAAACTTTAAATATTTTACCAGTTATGTTACATTTGAGTAGTTTTTGCCACAAGCCTATTCGCCACACCGAATCGAAGGCTTTTCTAAAGTCAACGAATGCACAATATAGTTTTCTACCGGAGGATAAATATAACGTTGTCAAAACGTGTAAAATAAAAATGTTGTCTAGTGTTGAGTGACCTTTTCTGAAACCTGCTTGTGCGTTACTTATGAGTTCAATTTCATCAGATAGTTTGTATAATCTTGCATTTAAAATCGACGTAAAAACTTTTCCCAAGCACGAGGTACAGGGTAGACTTGTAGGATTTAATGTGACACGTATACACATGTAAAGTACATGCATAAACAATCATTATAGAAATACGCAAACCACGGACAACGTAACATACAGTGTCCATTTGTATATGTGAACGTTTATAAAACTATCAGAGCATTGCTCCGTGAGGTACACATCTGTGTGTATGTGTAGGCCTGTGTCCATGTCAGGTAGGTAAATAAGATTTCCACCATATTCATGCCTACACCTATTTATACAGACATCTGCTTAAAGCGTGGTAGCAGTAGCAGCTATCGACTACACATAGGAAGATACGCCATAGTTATATAGTTATATATAGATAACTGCTGAATTGTAACAGACTGCATTACCGTTTTAGGTGCATGTTAAGCGCACACTACACACATATACTAGTATAAGCAAGTCTTAGCTTCGCTACCCAGGTTCATTGAGCCCGGGCCGGGGTTCCAGGGTTTGAATGATAAACAACTCACATAATTGATAACATTCAATACATTTATTAGAAAGAACATATAAACATACATAAAAAGACGACACAAGCTATTCAGCCCCTAACATGGCTGCTACTGGAACATATACGGGAAAACTGTAAACACTCACACTACATGGCAGTGCACACACAGCGGACAGCCAGCAAGGCTTTCCCCGGACAGTACCGTAACACACATACATCAACCTAGCTCCACGTACCGGTCATTAGACAGTGACAACGCAAGAAAGGACAGAGAGAGAAAAGGTACGATGGCCGACAAGAGCCAGACAAAAAGAAATGAATTCTCATATCTCTTTGTACCCTAGTACACTTTTATATGGTACACAATGTACCATATAAAAGTGTACCTATGGTACAAAAAGATATGAAAATTCATATATTTTTGTCTGGCTCTTGTCGGCCGTCGTAAATAGGAGCTACCAAGCTGAAGCTACTGGTACAACTCGACGAGTTCTGATTGATTGATGGGGCTTTACGTCCTTGTTCCGGTTATAACCGAGCCTAGGACAAAAAAAAAACAAAAAAAAAGGTG